ATCAGCAAGCCTGAAGCACCGATCGAGGGCATGTCAGATGGCTTCTACATCTGTCACATGAAGATGGTTGACAAGTTTGTGCGAAGCCGGTACGCTTCAGATTGTCGTGTGCAACTCTTTCTGGGTGATGAGGGTACAAGAGCCAAAGCTGCGGACCTTTTGGAACACATGGTTGCGCAACGTATTGTCGTGCAAGCGTGCCTGCACCCAGACAGGACCCATCTCAAGTGGGGCGACTNNCTGCCAAAAGGCACCTCCTCACTCACCCAGCAACTACATCCGGATGACCTTGCAGCGGCCATAGACCAGTTGGATAGCGGACGGCTGTACAGACCCAGACCCATGTCCAGAAGTGCCGACCTCTTCATCAAACAACCCACGCTCACAATAGAGGTGCAAGACAAAAGCGGAGTGTCGACTGGAGTCTCATTCGCTGATGTTCGCAAGGAAGTGGGAAAGTGCATTCAGCAGGGATCGGTGCTATGGGTGCTTGTTGCACTCAAGCTGGATGAGTCGCTCAGTCACTGGGTTGGAGAGGCAAAGCCCTTGGTGCTTGAAAGCGGCATTTATCAACAGGAAAAGCTCGCGCATGGAGGGTCCGGTGGGCTGCTGTACCGTGTCGAAAGCAGCGGGAGATGGCAAAAGCGGATTCAGAATGGAGAATGGCAAGACGTCGAAACAGAGGCAAATCCCGAAGGCAAAGGACAAGAGCTTCTAGTGCGACAGGAGTTGCAACTGGTGATCCCGCATCCGAACCATGTTAAGGCGTTCCTCGGCGATTCTGACTTTAAGATTGTGGAGAAATTGGCCAAGAATCCAGGTGACAGAATGGTCGACATACCCTTCTTGAGCCGCTTCTATAACTTCCAGCAGCCGCCTGCGCAAGGCACGTCAGAAGAGAGATTTCTGGTTGAGCAATTTGTATCAGTTTCAGAGTTCATGTGTGAGGTACTCGCTGGTTAGTTCCAAGATGCCAGCTTGTGATGTTTTGGTAGATTCCCTGAGTGCGCACACACACACACAAGGACATGATTGGCCAGAACGAGATACTAACCTTTGGCGTCCTGCGGGGCTTTGCAGGCACTGCCCCGGCGACATCCACCGCCGTCTGGGTGCGGGAGCTGATCCGCAAGGACTCTGCTCAGTACTTGGAGCGCAAGGAATCGTTGACTACATCGGTAGCATTCAGCAGCTGAAGCCGGGGTTGGGGCACGGC